TCCCTTGCTGCAGCTTGAACCCATTGCTCCTTGCCCTGTCATCTGCCCCCACTGAGAACAGCCCAGCTCCATCCTCTTTGCAACCCCCTGCAGGGAGTTGAAGGCTGCTATCAAATTCCCCCTCGATCTTCTCTTCTCCAGACTAAATAAGCCCAGTTCCCTCAGCCTCTCCTCATAAGTCATGTCCTCCAGCCCCTTCACCATTTCCTGTGCTGGACTCTTTCTTATTTGTCCACATCCTTTCTGTAGTAAGGAGCCTAAAACGTAATTCCAGATGTGGCCTCACCATTGCTGAATAGAGGGGAAGAATCACTTCCCTCAATCTGCTGGTAACCAGATCCTACCAACGCAGCCCAGGATGCCATTGGCCTTCTTGACAACAAGGGCACACTGCTGGCTCATATCCAGTTTATTGCCCACTGTCACCCCCAGGTCCTTTGGTGCCTAGCTGCTGCCCAGCCAGTCAGGCCCCAGCCCACACCGGTGCATGGGATTGTTCCATCCTAAGTGCAGGACTTGGCACACGTCCTTATTGAACTTCGTGAGTTTTCTTCCAATTCGTTGAGGTCTTTCTAAATCCTAGCCGCACCTTCCAGCACATCTACTACTCTGGCAAACGCAGCAGAAAATTGCTTCCGCGTGCCTGGCCACTGAGGCATTGTGAAGTTTCACAGCTGAGATCATCAACTGCCATGAGAAGGAAATGAGAAAGCCAATGATCAGCAAACATGGAGTCAGTCTATATTGTCTGGGTAACACCACTAGGTCAGAACGACCTGACGCGAGGCATTTAGCTGTGATCAGTACACAGGAAACAGGAGTGTGATGAATTCATGCCTACTCCCTCTCTGTATCCAGGATTCAAGCAAACATCCACATAGATACAGAGGCTCTTTGCCTCTTTGGAAACCCCACACTCAAGCTTTGCTCTTCTCCATGGCAGAAAAGAGGATGCTTTGGTTTGCTGCCTTCCTTATACTCCTGGCTGTTCCAGGTAAGGCAAAGAAAACCTAGGCTTTGAGACTGATAATGCACTGGATATAATACCAGTTTGGAGCACCCACGTGTAAGGCTAAGGAGGTGCCAGGAAGACATGTCACTAAGAGCAGGAGTATCCAGGAGCTGGGTTAACTGATGAGCTATTTGAACACGTTTCTCCTGGGCATAGGGGAGGGGGAGGAGGAACGCTCTTAGAAGGTTTTAGAAAGGGCAGAGAGGAGGAGGTGGCAAGGTTGGTTGGGAAGATTATGCCATTTAGAGGTGGCAGCAAAGAAATGTACATGGGACCCCCCCTGGGGGACACCAGTAAGCAGAGTGGTGCTGCAAAAGAGTCAGTGCTGTCTAGTGGGTAGAGCACCAACCTGGGACTCAGGATAGCTGGGTTGTATCCCCAGCTCTACCACTGACCTGTGGGGTGACCTTGGGCCAATCATCTCACTGCCCTGTGCCTCCGTGTCCCCATCTGTGGGTTGGGGTGAGGATAGTGACCTCCTCTGTAAAAGAACTTTTGATCCGTTGATGAAAAGAGCTATCTATGGGCTAAGTGTTATCACATGCTGCTGTGGGCTGGGGAGCTTTGAGCTGGTTCTTCAGTGACTGAGAGCCTCTGAAGCTGCTGGTTAGGAGGTTCAGCTTACTCTCCTCTGCTTGTGAGTTGCTTTCTTTGTAGATGTGTCTCTTTACACACTCACAGAGGCTGACACAAGATCATAGCAAAGTAGGGCTGAAAGGGACCTCGCAAGGTCATCTAGTCCAGCCCCTTGCTCAAGGCAAGATCCCTGATGTCTCCAGGCAGGCATCACCATAGGTTCTGCCTGTGTTTGCCTATCAATGCACCTTTTCCTCTTGCAGGCAATGCCCAGGGATCCAAACACATCTGTAGAACTGCAGGGGGTCAGTGCCGGATGGGAACCTGCCTTTCGGGTGAAGTCAGGATTGGGGACTGTTTTAGCCCCGTAATCCTATGCTGCAAAAAGTACCCAGTGCGCAAGACAACCAGAGAATTGCAAAGAGGTGCCTGATCCTTCGGCAATGGTCTCTTCTGTTCCCCTCTCACGCGAGGCGGCAACTTTGTGTGTTTTGAATTGCGTGCAGTAGACCTGTGTGTTTTCTAAAGGAGATGTTGTGCCTTTCTGTGCTTGTTCTCTTGGCTCTTCACTGCCAGGTGTCAGCTGAGAGTCCATCAGCCCCATATCCAAGCTGCCCATCCTGGCCTGAGGAACAAAATCAGAGCTGCAATGGTCTTCCCTTGGCTTGGAACCTCCCAGGGGGCCAAGGCATGGAGCCACCATGACACGTGCGTGTGTGTGTGTGTGTGCGTGTGTGCACGTGTTTATCCTGATTGCCTCCCAAACGCTGTCACTAGATTACGTGTGTGTGACCTCAGGGGTAGGGAAAGCCTTGTAGCCATTAGCCTCAGGTCAGTGTCCATGCTTCTTATCTTCCTGTGTGGAAAGCAATAAATGTGGAGTTTAACAGAGCAGTCGTAGTCCTTTTGTATGCATTTCCTCCTTCCTCCCCTGAGCAACTTGCTTACAGTCTCACAGCAAATCAGGGGCAGATGTTCAAGCAACACGTGTGTGTGGTGGGACTCCACTATGGGTGCTGGCTACTAGATCACCCAAGAAACAGCACCCTCTCCCTGGAAAATCAAAGCTCTATCACACTAATCACAGTTGCAACAGCCAAGTCTCCATCCCACTCTCACAGTGGTGGTCTCACAGATTTAAGCATCTACCATTCAGAAGGTAGCTTCTCCCAGTCCTTTCTGGGGTGTGCCAGGCTGCGGGCAGAGCTTCTGCTGCATCAGTGCACAGAAAAGAAAGAGCAGGACTCAGCATGTCCTGCTCGAGTAACCCAAGAAGATTGCAATGGCAGGGAATGCTCACCCATTTTTGAAGGATCAAGTGCCGTGGTTCAGGTTGAACCTACTTCTCATTTACAAACGGAAGGGAGTTTGTAGATTTTTTTTAAATGTAGAATTAAAAAGAAAGAAAGAAAGAAAAAAGATTAAAGTGTAAATGTAACATCTTGCAGTTGTCTAAACAAAAGGTTTCCTAGTCTGGTCTGGTTTATTTTGCCAGGTTTTTAGTCACTGATATTTGCCACCACAAATCCAGGCAGAAAAAACTTCAACATGGCAAAAACTCTCATGGGATGAGAAAACTGTTCCTTACTCCACACCCATTGGAAAGGCTTTTATTAGCACTACTTGGCGTTTGTACACACCACAAGATTTCCTGTTTACGCCACTGCAACTGTTCCTAGATCAGGACTCCCTATTATGATGACCTGCTAGATCATAAGTGACAAATTTCACATACCATGGTGCCCATATCTCATGAGCTACCAAACCACAGCCTAGCCATCTCTGCCCTTCCCCCCCCTTAAGTATGACATTCATTATTAATTTTCTATGACACCATGTGCTGTTCTACCACAAGAATAATCTGTTTTTTTATGTCAAACAAAGGGATTTTGGAGAAAAAATGTGTGACTTTTATTCACACTTTGTTCTCTTCAGCAGGAAAGCCAAGTTTCAGTCCAGTAGTCCCTTTCTCTTGAACAAAAGACTACATTTGTTACCATCCACTGAACCAAAGTAAGAGCAAAGAGCAATTATGCCAGTGCTGTAGAGTTCTGACCTGATATATCTCTGAAAAAAAAACTGGTTTTTCCCGTTTGTCCTTTAAAAAACTCCACTTCCAGCCTATTTTTTGCTTCTTTCTCCACCAGTTTCACTGAGACCTCAGCTGACTTCCAGGCATGAGGATCTTTTATCTCCTCTTTGCTGTTCTCTTCCTGGTTTCCCTTCTCCATTGAGATAATACTCTTCTGTCAGAGGCAGCCAACAGATTTGTAAAAGCAGGAATACTACAATTGAACAATAAAGCAAACCTAGTTGCTCAGGCTCTACTCACAGCCAGGAAAATATCACCATTAGACAGGGAACTCCTGGCCCCACTGTATCAACAGCAAACCCTCTATGGACTCCAGAAGGGATGGATTTCCCTCTCATGCAGGGTGTTTCAAAAATGCATACTCACTTCAGCCATCAGGGATACAGAGACGTATTGATCAAGAAAGGTTGATTCTTATTTCTTTAGAAAGCAAGAATTACACTAGCGTAGGTATTCCAGATGTCCACCATTGATAAATAGAGACTCATCGCAGCAGCAAGCAAGAGAACAGTACACATATGTGTATATATATTTTTGAGACACCTTGCGTACAGGAATATGAATATGTTTCAGCAATGTCACAGTCTCAGATCAATTCATTGTTCCCTTAATTTTCCTTAGAGATTGTCTGTAAGCACCACACTCACATACTTTATGTCCTGTTAAAAGGTTTGTAGGTCACAGCCCTGTGGTTGGATCCATACAAGTAAGTGCCTATACTTTCATGCAGCTCCTATGAGGTCGACAGCACTACCCATCAATGCCAGGCTCTATCCTCATGGAGCTGATTGCAGGATGGGACACTTTTGGGCCAAAAAAACTGCAAACAAGTTAGATCAGTTCTGGCCTGGAGCTCAAATTTCCAGGCACAAAATGAGCCTCACTCTCACAGGCGCCGCCTACAAGGGGCCCCTCGGAAAGAGAGTTGTCACCTTGAAATGCATAAAACTTTCCACATTTCCCCCCCTACCCCCCAGCAAAATTAAAGTCTGTGACTATGCTCCCTCTAATTATCGGCCTTTCCCAATGGGAACATTTCTTTTCTCCTGTGTGTATGCAACAGTCCTAATCCAAGTCTCTTACCTGTATTCTTAACCACCGCACTTTTTAGTGCCTTGCTGATGGATTCAGCTTTAGCACGACTCATTTAGGACTAGACTATGAAAAAGATTTATGTAATTTGGGATGAAAAGAGGCACCCTGATGGGATTTTCAAAAGCGCCTAGGTGCTTTCATGCCTGTTGACTTCAACAGGAAGGAGGCACCTTTGCAGAACCACTAGGTACGTACCTGTAGCTTGACATGCCCCAATACCATTAAAAACCTTTCTGAAGGCACTTTTGAACTGCATCTGAACTGTTCCCCTCCTGTGAGACATCACTTACAGCGATTCTCCTCTCCTTCTGGCTTCTCTAATGTAGTTTAGTGTCAGGTCTACCCTCTCTACTCATGGGATCATAAATCAGGGAATCCAGCCATCTCTGTTGACTCTGGGGGTAGGATAAACCTTTTCTTTGTGTTCAGGGAAAGGCCATTTGATCACTCTGCTTATTCGGAGGCAGTTCCTGCTGTGCTGACAACTCTACCTGGAGGACATGGAGACTGAAGACTGGTGGAAAAGCAACAGCATACGCTGCAAAAGGATGTGAAAGGGTCTTCACTAGGAGCTGAAGAAATCTGACCAAAGAAACAGGGCATCAGGAGACATCTGGACCAACTCCAGTAACTAAACTCAAGCTGTTCCACCATGCACCTTAATTAGAAAGAAGTGTTGAGTTTCTCTGATTGGATGTACAGAGTATTGTCTCCCACCTGGACCACTTTTGCCCAAATCATTTAATCTGCGGTGTTGCCAGACTAACACAGTCACTTAAATTGAAGTGATGTTGTTGCCATGATGGTCCAGGAAATGCATGAAAGACAAAAATGCTGTTGGTGAGACCTTTAATTGATCCAAGTTGGTCCAATAAAAGATGTCACCCACAGAATCCCTGCTTCTCGCAGTCTAAGTCAACCTTTTTGCTTCTCCCTTCCCTCCGTGTTCGATTTCAAAGGTACCGTGGTCCTGACGGGCCTGGTAGGCAATAGTAATCTCCGGTGTGCTTCCACTGTCACCAGAGGAGATCCATTAGTGGCAATCATCTTTTTGGGGGGCTGGATTCTGGTTTCACTTATAACAGTGTAAATCCTGTGGAGTGAGAGGTATGGTTGAATTGTAGTTGGGATCAGGATCTGGACCCCCGTTTCTAGAAATGGATACACACGGACACCTGTTTGAGGGGGGCCAAGCAGGAAGACTGAAAAGGAAGCCAGGATAACAAAAGATCTTGACATCTGGTAGCGTAGTTTTAGGTGACGAGACGGCCTAATGGGAGAGTGTGGTGGGAAGGATTTGGGCATACTATCAGTTTGGGAGGGCTGAGCAGCAGCTGTCCATGTGCTAAGACTTCAATTCCAGATAGAAACACCTGGCTCCTCATTGTCAGGTCAGCTGGCCTGTACCCTCAGTCCAGGGAGCTACATCCAGGACTTTTGATACCGTCTCCCACAACAGTCTCACAAGCAAGCTAAGGAATATCGGTGGGATGAATGGACTGTAAGGTGGATAGAAAACTGGTTGGATCATCGTGCTCAAAAGGGCAGTAATCAATGGCTCAGTGTTTAGTTGGTAGGCAGTATTAAGTGGAGTGCCCCAGGGATCGGTTCTGGGACCAGTTTTCTTCAATGTCTTCATCAACAATCTGGACAAAGGGATGGAGGTCACCTTCAGAAAGTTCTCGGATGACACCCAGCTGGAGGGAGTAGTAGATACGCTGCGGGGTAGGGCTAGGATTCAGAGAGACCTCGACAAATTGGAAGATTGGACCAAAAGAAATCCCACAAAGTTCAGTAAGGACAAGTGCAAAGTCCTGCGCTTAGGACAGAATAATCCCTCTGATGACCTGAGGAATGACTCAAGGGCCCGGCCAGGGCTGTCACCCCTCCTCATATCTGCGGGGTAATCCCAGGCTTCACTGTGCTGTTGACAAGCACATATTTGTTGGGTAACTACAGACATTAGTTTGTCATAAGACCTCTGTGAAGCTTGTTTGCTGTTCCCAGGGGACAGTCCAATGTCTGTTTGACGAGGCTAGTGAGAGCCAAGAAGAAAACCTTAGTTTGCTGTATGAAAAAGTGTGCGGTATAATGGAACGACAGTCGGGAGAGGTAAGGCTCTGAGTTGGGTGCCTCAGCTACCAATTGTGTGCATTGTACCCATTGATTGTTGTACAATCCTACCTCACAGGGGGGCTGTGAGGCTACAGGAGGTCCGAATACAATAACCAAAGAGATCCCTTCCAGCCTTACATTCCTATGGCTCCCACTCACACGGCTCCCAGGCCACACATAATGACTGCCTCTGCAAAGCCTAGAAGTGAACACCCAGTGGAAAAGGCATCAATGATATCAAAAGAAAAAAAAAATAGACAGAAAAAGATGCTGATAAGACAAGAGGGAAGCACTGGAGTCAGTCTGTGGGGGTGATTCTGGTGCTTGGGCAGCACTTTCACGGTGCTAAGTGCTATGGGCTCCTGCAATATATGTAATGAGTAATAGCAAATCCCCCTGGGAGCCCAGCAATGAATCAAGACCCTATTATAGTAGGTGATGTGCAAGTCCACAACCAAGAGATCCTGGCATATAAGCTGCCAGGGGCAACAGATGAAGAATTGGAGTGGTCTCATCTGTATGATGACAGCTAACACGGGCGGATGTGCAATAGGGGTAACTAAGCTTCATCTAAACCGTAAGAGCCACTGCGCTTCCATTTCTGAAGCGACATGCCTCTGTGGACTCCAGCTGTTTTGCTGTGCACACGTTCATGGTTCCTGTGCAGTGCAGAGCAGCTGAAGCATGCAGTGCATCTGGCTCCAGATGTGCACTTATGTCACCCATGCTGAGACTGATTTTATGCCTGCTCTTCATCGACCAATGTGTTAATTCAGGGGTGCTCTGCCCCAGACTGGAGCCATCTCATCTCACCCACAGCTCCCCCTGGGTCTGGAAAATTTGGCAGCAAGGGAGTGGTACTAATTAACACTGCTACTGCTCATGCTGCCAGGTTTCCATGTCTCTGTACCAGGTCCCAGCTGGGCCATTCCCACACAGCTGGATCAACCAGGCTATCCCAGCCCATGCAGTTGGATCAGGCTCCATCCAGACCAGGGGCGGGCAATTATTTTGGGCAGAGGGCCGCTTACCGAGTGTTGACAAGCCATCGATGACTGTGTGACAGGCAGTCAGGGGCAGATAAATATTAATTTTCTAAATTTTTAAGGGGCCCCATGAGCCGGATAGACTGGCCTGGTGGGCCGCATCCACCCTGATCCAGATCATTCCCATGCAGCTGGATTGAGCCTACAGATGGGATCTGGCCCATGGCCAACCTGGCACAGCTTATCTAACCCATGGACACCAATGCTTTAAATCACATGAAGAAACAGGGATTTTTCACCAGCGGAAGGACAAGCTATTCCTATGCCCATTAAAAGGACCCTCAGGTTAAAAATCATGCACGTTGTCTCTGCCTCGCAACACCAGAAGAAAGGAGTGTTTGGTGACATGGAGAGGTGGCAGGTTCTGCTGAATGGAAATAATCTTCCACTCACTGTGCAATCAGACTGTGGCACTCACTGCCCCGAGGCCAAGAACTTGGGGCTGGTCCTGCTTTGAGCAGGGGGTTGGACTAAATGACCCCCTCCCAACCCCCATTTTCTATGATCCTTGGTAAAACTCAGCGGGACCGAGAACAAGCACAGCCAGCGGCTTAACAGTTAATATTATCAGAGCTCATGGCTCTGTGTTAGGAATCAGGAAGGTAACTCCACGGACGCCTATTATGCCCCTTCTCACTACCATGGGGGTCACATGCGTCCTCTGAAACAACTGGACCTGACCGCTGCCGGAGATGGGATGCTGCACTCCCTTATTCCTCCACTTCTTAAAATTCCTTCTTAACATGCCCTGAGTCTTAAATTTGAGTTTTTAAAATGGCAAAAAGTTCTCAGTGCAACAGCTAGACTCTGGGTCCTTGCAAAAGTGTCTTCATTTGATGGGGGTGTTTTTTGATCGAGTCATAAGTCGCGGGTGTCTTAAATCCAAGGGCAGCTAATAACCACAGAAATATGGTTTATGGGCTTTGAGTGTGTTCTAGTTTGGCAAGTCCTAAGCTCCACTGGTCCTTGAGGCTCGGGACCCACCAACACAGAGACAGATTCATATGAGAAACTTGTTATGAGCTAGTATGACCATAATCCTTCTGTCAATAAGTCACAGGCTTAAAACAAGAAGAATGGGCATAGTTATTTTTCTAACACTTAATGAATTCTGTAGGGCAGTTTCTTGCCTCACTCAGGGCCCCATCCAAACCCACCGAATTACATGAGATACTCTCCATGGACTTCAATAGAGGCTGAATGAAAATCCAGGGGATTAAAATGCATCACTCAGGGTGTTCAGGACACCAAGGTGAATGAGTAGTGTCTTCAAGATGCAGTGTCTTACAGATAGCTGGGCAGGAGAGAAAAGCTATAGCTGCAATGCAGTCACTGCTATGATACCCCTTGCATAAACATACCCAAGCTTGTTTTAAGGTGGCTATCTTAGATATTGCTAGCAGGATGGGTATGGTAACTTGGAGATCAGCCTGGGAGAGATGCCCAGGTACCTCTCCCACTTCTTGGGTGGGGTTGGCAGTTTGCTCTGGGCTCTGCCATAGATAAAAGGTTAGCAGAGCCCCGGCTAGGCAACTGCAGTGGTGACATACCCATAAAGGGCAGGTCAGCTTGTTCTACCCCTGAGCAGCCACTGGACTGTTAAGTGCCCTACATCCACTTGTGATCGTGGACACATCAGGAAGACCCACATTTTCAAACTAAGGCCTGAAGTCATTCACCTTCATCCATGTTTGGGGGGGGGGGTTGTACTCTGCACCTGGCGGTGTCATGAAAGCATAGTTATGGTCACCTATAGCAATGAAGATGTCAGAGCAGAGGTTTTGGCATGGGCCAGCAACCCATGTAAGCACCCAAGGTGCCTGCCTGGGCTTATCCAGCCCTCACTGAAGCCATTGCCACTGCAGCTTTACTCCTATTGTCTACATGTGACCACAGGGTAGACGTTTCAGCACAAGGCCTGATTTCCAGACATGCAGAACCCTTCTCACATAAAGCAAACCGCCTTTATAACCCATGCCCCTTAGGTCAACCGAAGCCTGCTGAAGTCAATTTAAAAATGCACCTTGACCTTGGGCTTTGGATCACAGTCCTAGTGAGAAGTCTCAATATTAATTTCCCTGCCAGCCTCCCACTTCCCCCATTCAGGGGACCAATGTCCAATATGTAAAGCACAGGCTGGGATTTGTGAACAGCAGGCTCTGAAAACTCTGGAGACTCAAGGTAGCTGATTCACTGAACAGCTTCCCACCCAAGGGTCAGACGTCAACACCGCCTTCAAGCAAGGCAGAGGTGAGCATGGATGTGCCTGGACTACCACTGTATAGCTTGCAGTGTTAATTGATTATGTATGTGGACAAGGTTGCCAGTCCTCTGAGCAATTATACTGGCTGCTGCCAGAGTAGCTCAACTCGGCTGGCAATGGGTATCCATTTTGGCTTCATCCAGCAGAAACATGGTGGCCACTCAGTAGTCTGGCTTTCCTAAGTGCCTAGCAATAATCGAGCTACACAGATGTGTTGAATCACCATCTTTTCCCCATTGGAATTGGTTTTACCCATATTTCTATTTTAAAATAAAGCCTTCCAAACCTGAAAGAAGCCTCTGAAATACTGTTGATTCTCTTTTTCTCCCCCCAAGTTGATCCCCACAAATCCAGGTGCAATCTTGGCCTGCTTGCCCTGATCTCTGATTAAGTCAGGAGGTCCCATCTAGCCCTTTGCCCTGTGTTCCTGTGTCTAGCCAGGAAAAGGCTTATCTGCATTGTTTGATGATGATGCTTTTTTCATTTGGCCTGGCTGTTTTTTTCAACACTGGCCCATCTCCAGCTTGCAAATAAAAGGCAACAGAGGCAGCTTGAAAAGGGGGAAATAAATCCTTGCCTGTGGTCTTTCTTACTTTCCTGTAAATGTTTTATTTCCTTTATTATTATTATTATTATTATTATTATTATTATTATTTGTGGGGGGTTAGTATATTGACATTCAGCTCTCCAGCTAGAAAATCAGTAGGACACAATGTGAGTGCTCTAACTCCCCTCCCCAATGAGTCTCAGAGTTTCTTTCCCAGTAAAGCAAGTCCCAGCTCATGAGAGGAGACTCTGAGAGTTCATTAAAATAAAAGTGGAAGTTTCTAGCAGACAAGGTTCCTTGGGTAGATGTGATATCTTTTATTAGACCAGCTAAATAGTTGGGGGGGGAAATGTTCCTTGCAAGCTTTCGGCCACTAACACCCTTCTTCAGGCCAAGGGAGAGTCTGCTGGCATTTGTGTGCTCTCCTGGGTAGAATAGAGGCCAAAATGCAAAATGCAGGTTGGTGAAAATCCACATGCACGGCAGTGAGGTTTTTGCATTCTCACATTTGCATTTTGCAGACCTGCATTTTGCATTTTGGAGAGCACACAAATACCAACAAACTCTCCCTATGCCTGAAGAAGAGCGTTTGTGCCCATAAGCTTGCAAGGAACATTTTTTTCCAACTATTTAGTTGGTTTAATAAAAGATATCACATCTACCCAAAGAACCGTGTCTGCCTATATCCTTAGACCAACACGGCTACAACCAACAACCCTGAAGTCTCTAGCACACATGCTTCTAGAGAAATGCTTCAAAAAGTGACCCCATGACATCCAAAGGACAGAATTCAATGTGTTTTCATATATCCTTTATTCAGATTCTTGCGATTTTTTTTACACCAATGTCCTGATTTTTTCATGGGGAATTTTTGCGCACAAAACTCTGATACTGCAAGTACCGTGTACCCACGGAGAAAAAATTGGGACTAAGAACTGAGTTCCTGTCACCATCGGCTGAAATATAAGTACAGGACAACTGAATTGTGCGCTCTGTCCCTCAAGATCTTTGTGACCTGAAGTGGCTTCAGTTCCGGCCTGTGGCTTTTATTTTGTTGATAAAAATCTTTGCTTGTTTTCCTGCTGCTGGTACCTCCAGGATGAAACCTTTCCCTGGGGCCACTGTTTGCTGGAGTGTCGAAATGCACCTGATAGTGGTCTCTCCTCATCAGGAATGTTTTGCAAACCCTCCAGCCTGTATAAATCAATAGTCTTCCCATCTCTGTCTGTTTGTTTCCATCGTCCTGGGTGCTGCTTCTCTGTGGTGTGATCTGCCCTTCAGCCATGAGGATCCTTTACCTGCTCTTTGCTGCTGTCATGATCCTTTTCCTCCAGGCTGTTCCAGGTGAGGTAGAAAGATTTAAAGGGAGTGTATGGGCCTTGGTGGAGGGGGAGCAGAGATGTTTTCATGCTGCGGCTGAGAAGAATTAGACTGGGGTCTCTGGGGAAGATGGAGCACCTGGGATCCTCCAAGCAAGAAGCTACTGCATGAAATATTCTGCCAGGGATGCCTTTTGAGGACAAAATCTTCAAAACCCAATCAAAGGTATTAGCAGCTTGCAAAAAACTCAAGTTGAATCCTGACGCTCACTTCACACTATTCTGACTGTAAGATGGGGATAGTGGAACCAGTTTAATACCCAAGGGTGTTAGTTTAATAGGGGATTAGTTCATCAAAGTCAGTGGGATTATTCCAGTGACCTTCAGATCAGTTCTTCATCTCAGATGGAAACTGCATAGGAAGCATCGCTGGGATGGTCGCGATGGTGTTGGATACAATGCATGGAAACATCACTGGGATGGTCGTGATGGTGTTGGG